TTTTGAGGGGGAGGTGTCTTAAAATATGAGTTAAGCATTCACCAGATGGGAAGAATGAATGGGAGAGTTTATCTTGGGCAAAGACAAGGGCATGCATAAAGACTTGAAGGCCCAGAGTTATAGTTCCTCTAACTATAAAGTTAGAGGAACAAAGACACTCAGAGTGCATGGAGGTTACTGTGTATTTAGTGGAGGCTGAGGAAAGAAGGATGTGGTATGAGAGTGGTAGTGGAAGGTGAGGCAGGTTAGAATTGGAATATTTTCATAATACAGTTGTCATGTCCTTCATGAAGAACGTTCATTAGGGTGTCATTTTAACACATACTGAAGGAGCTCCCTATGTTGGCTGTATCATTCCTGCCTTGGAAATACTAGCATCCTGGCAGAGCAGACATTGGATTCTTTCCTGATCTAGAACTAATGTTGCAGTTGCTTAGGGTTAGTGACCTTTAACCTCTGATGTTACAATGTCAGTTTATTCATTCACTTAACAAGTACTTATGCACCAACTAAGGCTATTCTAGTTACTGTGGGTACAGTAATGAACCAGACAGGATCATGCACTCATGGAACATATATTCTGATGAGACAGGCTAATAAGTAACTAATGAAATAACACAGTATAATAAATGCTCACTGACTTCAGGGATAAAAAGTAATTCATGTTTTGGATATACCTCTGGGTCATGTTTATTTATAGGAAGAGTTTTCAGCAATTGAACTTGGCTTGGCCTTTCTCAGACTGGCCTGGGTTCAGAGTGGATTTCCACTGAAAAGTCATTGTTTCTCTTCTGCAGTCTAGGTAGTAGTTATCCAAACTGTCTCAGATATAAAAGAGAAGGGAGGAAAAAATGAAATTATAAAGTCAAAAGTGGGGTGTTTTGTTCATATTTTAGGGGGATAATCTCGTGATTAAGCTTATCAGCTTTTGGTGCTGGGGTCAGCCTGCTGTAAAACGAATGCCCTCCTGGGGTGTGGTGGGAAGGGGCCGATCGAGCAAGTCTGTGCCACAGCTTGAGCCGAGAGACATAAATCTAGGATCAGGCAAGTGGCCAGATAAACTCTGGAGGTTTAAGCTCAGCACTTAACTTTTCTGTTTTGTTGGGCTTTGATTTTTTTTTTTTTTTATTTTTAGTTTAAAAAAAAAAAAAAAAAAAAAACGCATAAAATTTCACCCCTTACCCATTTTTAAATGTACAGTTCGGAAGTGTTCAGTATATTCACATTGTTGTGAAACATAGCTCGAGAATTTTTTCATCTTGCAGTACTGAAACTCTACTCTGACTAAACAACCACCATTCTGCTTTCTATGAATTTGACTGTTTTTAATACCTCATAGAAATGGAATCATATACAAACAGTTCCCTACTTATGATGATTCAACTTAATGTTTGTTTCCACCTTAGAATGGTTAGAAAGTGATGTGCATTCAGTAGCAGCAGTACTTTGAGTACCCATTCAACCATTCTGTTTTTCACTTTCAATATATAAATTATGAGATACTCAACACTTTCCTGTAAAATAGACTGTGTTAGATTATTTTGCCCAACTTTAGGCTACTGTAAGTGTTCTGAGCACATTGAAGTGGGCTAGGCTAAGCTGTGATGTTTGATAGGCTAGGTGGAGTAAATGCATTTTCCACTTAGGATCTTTCCAACTTACATTGGCTTTATCAGGATGTAACCCCATTGTAAGTCAAACAATATCTGTATTTGTCTTTTTGTGATTGGCTTATCTTATTTACTTAGCATGTCTGTTGAAGCATGTGACAGGATGTCCTTCCTTTTTTATTTTTTTCTTTTCTTTTTCCCTTTTTGGAGAGAAGGTCTCATTCTGTCATCCAGGCTGGAGTGTAGTGGTACAATGATGTCTCACTGCATTCTTGACCTCTCAGGCTCAAGCGATTTTCCTGCCTCAGCCTCTTGAGTAGCTGAGACTACAGGTGCACACCACCACACCTGGCTCATTTTTGTATTTTTCTGTAGAGGTAGGGTCCCACTATGTTGCCCTGGCTAGTCTCCAACTTCTGGGCTCAAGCAGTCCTCCCACCTTGCCTCCCAGAGTGCTGGGATTATAGGTGTGAGCCACCATGTGTGGTCTTTGTTTTTTCTTTTTAAAAGAGATAGGGTTTCATTCTGCTGTTCATTGCTGGAGTGCAGTGGCAGGATTATAGCTCATTGTAGCCTCGAACTCTTGGGTTCAAGAGACTGTTATATGTCCTAGTCACCTAGGACTGCAGGTGTGTACCACCACACCTGGCTAATTAAAAAAAAAAAAAAAATTATGGAGAGATGGAGGTCTCACTATATTGCCCAGGCTGGTCTCAAATTCCTGGACTCAAGCAATCTTTCTGCCTTGGCTCTCCAAAGACCTGGGATTACAGACATGATGCATCATTTTTTCTCCCCCCCCCCCCCCCCCCTTTTTTTTTTTTTTTTTGAGAGGGAGTCTCGCTCTGTCACCCAGACTGGAGTACAGTAGTGCGACCTCAGCTCACTGCAACCTCCGCCTCCCAGGTTCAAGTGATTCTCCTACCTCAGCCTCCTCCTAGCCTTTTAAGGCAGAATCACACCCTGTTTTATGTATATACCACATTTTGTTTATCTGTTCATCTGTTGATGGACATTTGGGTTGCTTCCACCTCTTGGCTAAGTGCTGCTGTGTTACATGAGTGTGTAAATACCTCTTCGAGACCCTGGGCTTTGATTTATAACCTATTCAGTTTACAAGTTTGATTGCCAACAAAGCTGATCTGTCAACCAAATTTTACTACATAGCCTTCTAGTCTATCAGAAGCTAAAAGAGAAGTACTTTGAAGGATTCCGTTTTGGTTCAGGTTTTGTGGATGAAGAGAAAGAAAAGTAAAGAGGAGTTGTCTTTAATCATTCTTCTATTGGTGACTGACTAAAATTCTCCTCCTGTGTACTTTTGAAAGGGACTCCTAGACCTCTACCATGCTGTCTTTTATATCAGGTGCTTAGAACAATGTCTGGCATATAGTAGACACACAATAAACATTTGAACAAATTAGTCTCCACTTCAGGTTAATGCAAAGCAACATCAGTTCCATGTTTGAGTAAGAATGCAATCTAATAAAGTCGGTAATTTTTTTCCCTTTGTATGACTCTTATTTTCCCCTCTACTCAGGAGTATAACACGTGGTGGCTTCTGCTTCTCTGACTGCACTGCTGCCTGTGTAACATGACCAAATATTTTAGCATTTAATCTGTGCCTTTCCAGAACTCAACAGTACTTAAAACCAGACTTCTTCAGATACGTCAGAGCTACTTAGGTTGACACCTGAAAATATCTAACAGATTAAAAAAAAAAAAATTCCTTATGTTTAAACTACCCAATCATAAGTAAAACTTATGAGAATATTCATAAGGTGTTGTGATCTCAGACTGGGACACAAATTGTTCCAAAAAGAAGTAATTGAAGTTTGCTAGCTGATGTATTTCATGATGTGTTAGAAACACTGGCCTCAAGTCCTTTTGGTTTGAGTCCTGTAAAAGCAATTTATCTTTCATTTTACCTTGTTCTTACGACACTTAAAAGCTCTGCAGTTTATAAATCCAGGTGGTGTTCAGCTGGGATTGAAATTAGTTAAAAACCATACCAAGATGATTATGCACCAAAGTGATTGTGTAAAATACTATATTCCTGCTCAGCAGAGCTCTAGGAACAATAAATTACAGACTTTGCCCCACTGGGCCTCTTTGAAAGTAGGGTAGAGAAAGCTAACTTTGTCTTTTTGGAGGTGAGTTGGGGGTGGGTGGGCAACGATGCTGAATTTTGAAAAGAAAAATCTAATTCTGTACTTACTGTCTGCATCCCATTTAGCCCTCAATTAACTGTAATTTAATGCCTAGGTCACTTTCTTTTAATTGGCAGTTTCATCTTTTTATTCCTCAGTGCCTCCTGATTCGGTGATGACATTTCTAGCATTACAATCAAATCAGATAACTGTTTAAACAAACTTGGTGGTGAAGGTTGGGGGACTGTTACAAAACAGGTCCTGTGCTATGTGAGCCCTTCCCATAGGCAGTGCCTCTCAAACTTTATTGTCTGTATTAACCACATAAGAGAGGATCCTCTTAAAATATTGGTGCTGATTTAGTAGATTAGGAATGGAACCTGGGATTCTGTATTTGAGTTCCCAGGTGGTGCCATTGCTGGTCTAAGGATCTCACTTTGAGTAGCAGGGCTGTAAAGCAGTAGTCCTTAACTCTCACTTAGATCATAGTCACAAGGGGAGTTTTCAAAAAACATAATGCCAGTACTCTACCCACTAGAGCAGGGGTCCCCAATTCCCGGGCCACAGACCAGTATGGGTCCATGGCCTGTTAGGAATCAGGCTGCACAGCATGAGGTGAGTAGCTAGTGAGCAAGCATTACCGCCTGAGCTCCACCTCCTGTCAGATCAGCAGCAGCATTAGATTCTCCTAGGAGTGTGAACCCTATTGTGAACTGCACAGGTGAGGGATCTAGGTAGCACACTCTGTATGAGATTGTAATGCTTACCCTGCCCATCTTTGGGAAAATTGTCTTCCACACAACCGGTTCCTGAGGTTGTAGACTGCTGTCCTGGAGTTCCTGATTCAGCTGGTCTCCTGGGGACAGCTCCGGTATCTTGTTTTTTAAAAGTTTTTCAGGTGATGGTAACATGCAGCCAAGATTGAGAATCATTGCTTTCAAAGGGTGGAGAATCTTGACTTTGCCAGAGTAGGCCTGGAAAAGGTTTCTCTTTATTATTTGAAACTCTGGATTTTCCTTAGTGCAGCCCAAGATTCGTTGACTTTTCTTTGGCTCCAAACTCTCATTGAGTGAATTCAGGTTTGAGTTCGTCTTGAAATGCGAGTTTCAGATGGCAGCATTTTTAATGTAGTTCTTTGGTAGTGGTCAGGAGCATGAGAATGTTCTGAGAGGTAATCTGCTCTTCTGCCCTACTGACATAACTCCCAAAAGTAGGGGGAGAAGTGTGTGTCATTTGTTCTTACGGTTGGCTCAGTATCAGGAGAAGGAGTTAAGGAGTTAAATGTTACTCACCTCAGTTATGGTAGCCAGTGAAGTGGGGAGCATGAATTGAAAGTCAGTTTCATGGGCCTCAATCTACTGATTGTGAAGGCCTTAATCCTTACATGTAACTAGAAAGCTAGGATAGGATTATAGAACACTGGGTGATTGTCAACAGGGATAAACCATACACACACCTCAGTATCCACTTTGACACAGTGCCCCTTGAGATCTCAAAGTTTCAGGAACATGAAAAAGTAGTTTGTCACAAAGAAAAGCTTTGAGCTTATTATAAATTTCTGCCTCATTTTACATCTCTGTAAGGCAGGAGTGATCTCTTGATCCTTAACTTTTGTTGCTTTCGATTAAAGAATGGAAATTGAAATAGTAAGTTTATTACTCTTTCAATTTGGGGAAAGAGGTCTTTTTTATCAGCTTTGGGCTTTAGTTAAGTAAATATGGAACATTCTTGTAGAAACAATATTTAAAACCAAGCCGAATGAGAGCACGCTTGCAAGAGAGCTAAACACAGTCTTGTGCTGTATGTATTAGCCTGGGAGGCTTTCCAAAGGAATGATCATCCCAAGCATTCTCTTTGGCATTTCTGTGTAGTGTCATCATCTTCTGTGATATGCCACACAAGAAGGAAGACCAATGGTTGATTTCTGGGATTAAACTTAAAAAAAAAAAATATTTAGGGTCTGGCCCCAACCCAGTATCCTCCTTCCTGCTTCTCCCCTCTGTACTCAGGTCATAGATTTAAAACTTAAATAGGCTGTGATTTTTTTGGTATCTCTTTCTGTCTTTGTTGTTCTCTCTGAATAACATTCTTATATTTTTTCAACAGGCAAATGCTCAGCATCCCTTAGACACAGTTCAGATGTCATCCCCTTTGGGGAACATTTCCCAATCCCTCACTCTCCCTCCAGCCCCGCATTGCTAGCTGGTTGTTCCCTTCTTTGTGTCCCTGTGGGATTTTATATCCCTCCCCTCCAGTATTAGATAGGGAACTATAATGTTTTCATGTGACTGTCTCTGACAAACCACAAGCTCTTCAAAGGTAGGAGTAGATGTGTATCTTTTCTTTTCTTTTTTTTTATTTTTATTTTGTTTAATAGTGATGGGGTCTCACTTTGTTGACCAGGCTGGTCTCGAACTCCTGGCCTCAAACGATTCTCCCACTCAGCCTTCCAGAGTGCTGGGATTACAGGTGTGAGCCACCGTGCCCAGCCTACATGTGTAATTTTTGCACAGTAGTAGGTACCATGCATTTACTGTTAGTTGAGTTGCTTGAATCAGTAAATGAAAGAGCAAGGGGGAGAAAAAAGAATAGAATGAATGTGCCCTATTGTCTCCTTTTCTTGAAATTTTAATAAACTGAACTTCTAAGTCCTGTTACTCCAGGGTTAGTTTTAGTAGAGGCTTCGTGGAAAATGTTGATACCTAATTTGGAAAAGGAAACGATGAAAAATTGGTGTTTGAAGTTTATGGAGCAGAGTGGTAGCCAAGCAGCTTGTTGGGTTTGTGTGGGAAAATTAGATATCTTGGTGTACATTTTATCCCAATACATTCTCTCCTTTCTGCAGTCATAAAATAGATTCTGGGAAGACTGTTGTTTTTTCAAAATACCTTTTTCGACATATATTTGAGATTTTCTGTTGGTCTTGCAAAAGAAGGTTCACTGATGCTTGTTAATTACATCAAATCTCAAATAATAGCTACTCCTTCCATAATGTGAGGATGCAAATTCCCAGGTGAGCATATTGGGTTTAGTGAGTCACATTTCAGACCACTTATAGAATCAATCATTTGACACCTAGTCCCAGTAGAGATTTTGCTGATTTTAGCTAATATCTGCCTTTGCACCTTTCTCTTCATTGCTGCTCTGAAACTCAAAATTGATTTTTTTCCTAGAATTGCATTTAAACACAATGCATGCATTTAAATACCAGTAGTTTCAAAATAAAGCCAAAAAGGGCTTAAATTGCAAATTATTGAGTAGTGCTGGTCAAAAAAGCCCTTTGCTAAATTCTATCCGGAATTAAGTTATGTGGTCCTCCCCCCACTCCAAGCCTGTTTTCTGTTGTTTTTTTACTTTGTTTCCCAGATCCCTTTTCTTTACATGCCTGTTTGTTAAGAAAAAAAAATAGCACAGCTGTTCCTAAAAGGCAGCTGGTAAGTTCACCCTCATCCTTTTTCTATGCTCCTCTGCCCCCGCTTGAAACAAATTTTAGAGACAAAGCCATTGCTGCTGTGATGAGAAAGAAGCTCTCTTCCCTAGTTTCTGTTGTCAGGTTAGTCCAAACGTCAGAAATGGCCACTATCAGCAGTAAAGAACTGTGGGTCACTGTGGTCAGGTGCCCTTGGCATTGCTGTTACAGACTAGTCACTGAATGGAAGAAAGAACTGGCAGCTTAGAGGAATACCCCTGAGACAGAAGTCTCATTTTAATCTGCATATTGCAGACTGGTAAACTTACTTGGGAAAAAGAGAAGGCGCTCATAATGTCCCTCTACATTGTGCTGACGCAAACAAAACAAAACAACCGTCTTGCTTGGGGCTACTTTTTATGAGGGCACTGTTGGAGGCCATCCTCACTTTTTTCTAAAGCCCATTAATTGTTGGAAGGTCTGCATGGCTTAAGTAAAGAAGAATTTTCATCTGACGCTTGTATTTTCTTCATTTCATCTGTACTTCCTCTTCCAATACACTTCCTGACAGGAGGGACTAAGCCAGAGTGTTTCTTACTGCCTGCTATGCCACACTGTTGATTGTCCCCTCCATTTATGCACCTCTTGTTGTTCATTTCAGAAAGATTTCCGAGTGCAGGAACTCCCACTGGCTCGTATTAAGAAGATTATGAAACTGGATGAAGATGTGAAGGTGAATTCACATTCATTTTTATTATTTCTTATTGAAGCTATGTGATGGGTAGGTTATTGCTCATTTCTCTAGAGCTCAAAGTTTAATGAAACAAAAACAAAAAAATTACTGTCTGTTGCTTTGTTATTTGGTTCCTGTTTAAAATTGTTAAGTGAGCCAAAACTGAACAGTTTTGGTTGCTATATGGGTCATCCTGAAAATTAAGGATATCCTGGTTTTAAATTGAAAAAAATAATTGTCGTGGGGGATTTTTTTTGTTTTGTTTTGTTTTTGTTCTTTTTTTGAATCAGTTGATCCCTCCCAGCTCTTTTTTTTTTTTTTTTTTTTTTTTTTTTTTTTTTTTTTTTTTT